AACCAGCAATCTAAAATGTAAATGTGTTCTCAGGCCAATTATGCTATTTTCATTTTTATATATATTCTTCCCATTAACTTTTTAGCTTCTGGGGGTTAAGAAGCAAGCTGAAATCAGTGTGATGTTAGCATGAATCCCAACAGGGTCTGATCCTTATTCACCCTCCCATCTACTGGAGATTTTTTTAAAATATGTTCACTTGCATAATTATTAAGTTCTACATCAGCAAAACCTTCACATGGTTGTAATTGAATGATGACAGGGAAGCCAAAATGGAAAATGACTGATTTTTACTTATTTCATATGGCATTTGACTTGTAAAAAGAATGGAAAGATTGTGAATTACAGCTTCAATTGATCCAGCAAGTGTTTGCCATCAAGCTTGTTGGATATAGCCATGCTGATGTACTGGTCATGTGTGATGGTTTTGAATTTTGGTTTCTTCTCCTTGACAAGATCTGGCAAAGGCCCGACCTTTGCTTGTATGCTATGGAACGCAGCCACTGAGAGCCTCTCCTTTTTGGGGTTCACCATTGCTCTGTGCTCTATGCTTCTGTATTCTCCATTGCTTAGTATCTGCATAGGAAAAATGGTTTATCTTCTTAAGTGATCCTTGATCAATAACAGGGGCAGAAACATTCCAAGAAAAGGTATACCTCGACTATGTCTCCAACGTTGATGATAAATGCACCGGGGAGAGGTTTCACGGGTACCCATTTGCCATTTTTCCTGAACTGCAAGCCTTCTACCTCATTCACCTGAACCAACAGGGTCAAGCCAGTAGCATCAGAGTGTGGCGCTAGACCGATGACCTTATTTGCATGCGCACAGGCTGGATAATAGTTCATTCTTATTCCTTGAGTTCCATTCTCAAACAAGCCTGCAAGCTGCTCGGGATCGATCCCCAGGTTCTTTCCCATTGACCTCATGAGGCAAATTGCAACCTTTTGCAGCTCTGCTGAGTACTTGTTCAAAGTTGCCCTGCAAAAATCCCAGATATTGCATTTTATCACTATCTACATTTCTGTTTTTTTAGGTGTTTGATGTTTTACCTGAGTGAAGGAGGATTAGTAGGCCAGAATTTCAGGTTTCTTATGAAAACAGGTTGGGTAAGAAGGAAGAGCATGTCTCCCCAGTCAAGTTTCTGCTCTTCTGATACAACAAATGCTTGTCCATAGCCTTCTAAGTTATTAGGTTCCTGAGCACAAGCCATCTTCTCCTCCAATGGAAGCTTAAAGAACTCCTGTATGTCAATCTTCATGTTCTCAATCACTTCATCCAACACTCCGTGATTGATCAACTGTTCCATCACAAACCCTGCTGAATCAATGATGAGGAAAACGTAGAATTTGGATAAGAATTTGTAAGATCGATATGTACCTGGAAAAAGCCCCAGTCTTTGCAGGCTAAATGGAGTTTATTCAGTTCTTGATCATGGCCTGCAAATTGATCAGAAACAAGTTTGGCCATGTCAACAACAGGAATCTGAAGGGATTCATCCATAGAAACTTCATCAGATTCTAATTCTGGGCGGATGTATATGGCAGGAATGTCTTCCAGCTTCTCGGCAGAAAGAGCTTGGACATTCTGAACAGGCAGAGAGCCACCATACTCTACTTTTCTCAGCCCTTCTGTCTCCATTTCTGCAACCCAAATTCATCCTCTTATGTCGCTGTCTCCCACCTAATATATGTGGATCAAATACAATTATTTTTTTCTTTGATTTTACTATCCAATGATACCTTGTTTCGTGCAAGCAATTATCTATTTGGCCGGCTGTTGGTCTTCATTATTGTTATTATTTTTTTTCTATTAACGGTTAGGATGCTCTTATGCAGTTTTTTTTTTTTTTTAATAATTTTAAAAATATAGTATTCATGCACTTGTACTTTTGAGTCTAGTAGAATTAATCACATTGAATAAATGTTTTTTTTTTTGAACGAGTTTGATCTCGTCTCATGTCAAATTATTCAAAAAAATAAATACATATATATAGTATTCATAACTACCTCAACAAAATTAATTTTTCCATGGTGTCATTACTCCTCTCTATCTAATTAAAAAAGGTTAAACTCTTAATTTGATCCCTCAACTATTATATGAACTTTTAACTTATTCTTAAACTAAGAAATTTTCTAATTTGGTCCTAAGTTGGTCTTTCCGTTAAAAAACAACTAACATATCTGTTACTTAAGTCACATGTCACGTTAATAATAAAACACATCATCTATCTTTTGTACGAAAAGATTAACTTAAAGCTATATAATAAAGACCAAATCAGAGATTTTTTTAGTTTAAAAACTAAATTAAAAATCTATATAATAGTTGAGGAATCAAATTGAAATTTTAACAAAAAAAAAATTTTTTTGAGGGAAGCTCTATTGAATCTTAGGAAGAGTGTTCGCTGTTCACAAGACAATGTTAGAGAGCATTTCTCTTCCTAACGAAATATTCAACTGTTACCCATCTTGCCCATTAAATCCAACGGTGCCAATTGATTATCCCTCCCCAAACTCAGGCATATAGGCTGTAGAATCCTCCTGAATGTCCTGTACAGTAGTACTTTTTGCACTCATCGTGTTCTTCTGGCAAGCTTGCTTGGCAGGCCCTTTCGTCTGAAACTCTTAATAACACCTTTGCTTTCGCATTGTGTGGCTTTCTGTTTTACTATATTGTTCTCTCCATATATCTATTAATTATTGTCTTGAAGAAGTACATTCCCCCTGTAATCAAAGTCGCCGTAACAAACTCGACCTAACTATGATCTTTAAGGTTGATTTTTGAAGAAAAATGGTTGTTAAACAGGGTCAGCGTAAACTCATTCTGTTCTATCCTTGGCAGCCCTAGACTAGAGAATTAGTACAAATCAAGAATGTCTTCGAAATTGTTGTAGTTTTTTCATCTACTTTCTCAAAGTTTCCAATTTGCTTAGTAATATAATTGAAATATGGCTCAAAAAAATTCAAGAAGTTTGGTTGGACTTGTATCTGGACAAAAA